GTCAGTGGGCAAACGTACAAAATCAGCAGGGGATCAAATACTTGTTTCCCTCACTCTATCCGGACCTTCCTTCATCCATCGCCCCGGTGCCACACTGCCATGAGCTCCCCGTACCCACTCCTCCGGATAGAGAGAGCAGCCGTCTTTAGAAGAGAACAGCAAGTCAGAGAGCGAGGAAGACGTTGTAGATCCAGATGACAATTTCAGAGGTGGAGCTGAGGAGAGAAACCCATACTACCCCAACCAAAAAGACCTCAATGACTTGATTAGAGATCTTGGTCTCACCAAGTCCAATGCAGAGCTTTTGACGTCTAGGCTCAAGCAGTTGAACTTGTTGGATGAAAGTGTGCAAGTCGCAGATCAGAGGAAGCGTCACCAACCTTTTTGCAGCTTCTTCACCCGTCAAGATGGGCTCTGCTTTTGCCACAATGTGACCAGTCTGTTCGAGGCAATCGGAATCGCCTGTAACCAGAATGAGTGGCGCCTCTTCATTGACAGCTCATCCAGGAGCCTCAAAGCCGTCCTTCTCCATCATGGTAACAAGTACCAGTCTCTTCCCCTGGCTCACTCGGTGCACCTTAAAGAGGATTACAACAGCATCAAGACCCTGCTGGACGCCTTGAAGTATGATGAGCACGGCTGGGAAGTCATCGGAGACTTCCAAATGGTGGCATTCCTGATGGGTCTCCAAGGCGGTTTTACCAAGTCTCCCTGCTATCTTTGGGTTTGGGACAGCAGGGACACCAAGGCGCACTACCACAGGCGGGACTGGCCACAGCGGACCGAGTTCTCTGTGGGGAGGAACAACGTCAAGTGGGAGCCACTGGTGGACCCCCGGAAGGTGCTGATGCCACCACTGAACATCAAATTGGGCCTCATGAAACAATTTATCAGAGCTGTAGATAAGGAGTCGGCAGCCTTCACGTACATTCAAGACTTCTTCACTAAGCTGTCTGAGGCAAAGGTCAAAGCCCGTGTCTTCGTCGGACCAGAGATAAAGAAGATCCTGGAGTGCAATGAATTCCCCAAGAAGTTCACTAGTAAGGAGAAAGCGGCTTGGGACAGCTTTGTCGCAGTGGTTCGTGGCTTCCTGGGCAATCACAAGGTCGAAAACTATGTGGAGCTGGTTGAGACTCTGGTGAAGAACTACGGCACAATGGGCTGTAGGATGTCCCTCAATGTCCACATCCTTGATGCTCATCTTGATAGATTCAAGAAGAACATGGGAGCATACTCGGAAGAGCAAGGCGAGCACTTCCACCAGGATATACTGGACTTTGAACGCCGCTACCAAGGACAGTATAACGAGAACATGATGGGAGACTACATTTGGGGGCTGATTCGTGAAAGTGATTTACAGTATAATCATAAATCTCTAAAAAGTACTCACTTCGAAATCTTTAGTAGTCATATTTGTATTACTTTAGTATCAATACATGTTAATTTTGATTCATATGTTGTTTTTTCTGACTTTACGTGAACGAAAAGACACAAATTCGCCCGTTTTCTCATTGAAGATAGGTACATTTCAAAATATCACTGTCCTGGTCACAAATACAAAGTTTGTGGGGGAAAAAATAGCCATCTTCTATACTTTTTAGGCATAAGCAATTACGAAATAACACTTACTACCCAGGAACAAAAATGGTGTCGTAAATATAATGTATTCTCTCGCGGACGATTCGGATGCTTAGCGAGATCACAAGCGCTGTGTCTCGTTCCTTTTCTGCAGCCGCATCATCCCTCCCACATCGCAGTTTTACAACACCCGACCGGCCCGACTTGCCCGCCAGCCCGCCATGGGAACGTGGAATTCCCACCGCTGGGCTGTGCGACTCACAAAAGAGTCGCACAGGCCAGCGGGTTGGGGGGGGGGGGTGGTGTGTGTGGAGTCGATGTCAGTCAGGCACGTGGCTATTGATGACCTATCGCTCCCGTAGCGCGGTGTCCGACGGGTGAACTCTGATGGCCGGATTACAACGGGGTCACGGATTAGCGGTGCGGTTTAAAGGGATGCTGGGGGGCTGGGGGCTAAGGGGGGTGGTGGAGGTTGATGGTGGGGGGGCTGCTCTGAAGGGCGTCAGCAGAGGAGGTAATTTCGGTGTAAACTCTCTTGCCGTGACAGATACCCCGCAGAGCAAGCGGGGAAGCCATGAGGGTGTGTGGGGTGTGTGTGTGTGGGGTGTGTGTGTAAGGGTGTGTGTGTGTGGTGTGTGTGTAAGGGTGTGTGTGTGTGTGGTGTGTGTGTGGGATGTGTGTGTGGGATGTGTGTATGAGGGTGTGTGTGTGTGTAAGGGTATGTGTATGTATGTGTAAGGGCGTGTGTTTAAGGGTTTGTGTGTAAGGGTGTGTGTGGGATGGTGCGCGCGGAGTGTGTGTGTGGGGTGTGTGTGTAAGGGTATGTGTATGTGTGTGGGGTGTGTAAGGGTGTTTGTGGGGGATGTGTTTGTGAGGGGTGTGTGTGTGTGTGTGTGAGGTGCGTGTAAGGGTATGTGTATGTGTAGTGTAAGGGTGTTTGTGGGGGATGTGTTTGTGAGGTGTGTGTGTGAGGTGTGTGTGAGGTGTGTGTGAGGTGTGTGTGTGTGAGGTGTGTGTGTGTGAGGTGTGCGTGTGTGAGGTGTGTGAGGTGTGTGTGTGTGAGGTGTGTGTGGGGTGTGGGTGTGTGGGGTGTGTGTGAGGTGTGTGTGTGGGGGGTGTGTGTGTGTGAGGTGTGTGTGTGTGGGGTGTGTGTGTGTGAGGTGTGTGTGAGGGGTGCGTGTGTGAGGTGTGTGTGTGTGAGGTGTGTGTGTGGGGGGTGTGTGTGTGTGAGGTGTGTGTGTGTGGGGTGTGTGTTTGTGTGAGGTGTGTGTGTGAGGTGTGCGTGTGTGAGGTGTGTGTGTGTGAGGCGTGTGTGTGTGAGGTGTGTGTGTGAGGTGTGTGTGTGGGGTGTGTGTGTGTGAGGTGTGTGTGTGTGGGGGTGTGTGTGTGTGAGGTGTGTGTGTGGGGTGTGTGTGTGTGTGTGAGGTGTGTGTGTGTGAGGTGTATGTGTGTGAGGTGTGTGTGTATGGGGTGTGTGTGTAAGGGTATGTGTATGTGTGTGGGGTGTGTAAGGGTGTTTGTGGGGGATGTGTGTGTGAGGTGTGTGTGTGGGGTGTGTGTGTGTGGGGTGTGTGTGTGAGGTGTGTGTGTGGGGGGTGTGTGTGTGTGAGGTGTGTGTGTGTGGGGGGTGTGTGTGTGTGGGGTGTGTGTGTGTGTAGTGGGGAGCGATAGTGTAGCGGTTAGCGCGCTGCGTTATGAACCTGGCGACGCGGGTTCGATTCCCGCTCACGGCCAACACCAGTGACGATTATCTGAACCGGTACCGGGCCTCCCCTAGGTCGACTCAGTCTCAAGTGAGTACCTGGTGCGGTGTGTAAACATCGCCACTAGGGAGACAAAGGCGGTCGGGCGTGGTGCTGGCCACACACCCCCTCGTGTACCGATCCGGCCTTTATAGGTGCTCGCTAACAGAACTTGCCTCTACAGTCTGTTAAGGCTACACGGGGGTTCTTTGTCTTTGTGTGTGTGCCAGTCAGCCTTCAAACGGTACCACGGGGGGTGACTGTGCGAGCTGGTGGCGGGAGGGGGCGGGGGAGGGGGGGAAAGGGTGAGGAGGTGGAGGGGGCGATCAACGATAGAGTGAATGAGTGAATGAGTGAGAGAGTTAGTTAGTGAGAGCGAGAGAGTTAGTGAGAGGGTTAGTGAGAGAGTGAGTAAGAGAGGGAGTGAGAGATGTTAACTACCTCGCCTGGTGTACAGGAGGTCGTGGGTTGGATCCCGACCCTGACGCCTGCTGCTGTATATTTGGAGTTTGCGTGTCTCTCTCTCATCATCATCATCACGGTGGCTAGGAGATGTTAACTACCTCGCCAGGTATACAGGAGGTCGTGGGTTCGATCGCGACCCTGACGCCTGCTGCTGTATATTTGCTGTATATTTGGAGTTTGCGTGTCTCTCTCTCATCATCACGGTGACTATGAGATGTTAACCACCTCGCCTGGTATACAGGAGGTCGTGGCATCGATCCCGACCCTGACGCCTGCTGCTGTATATTTGGAGTTTGCGTGCCTCTCTCTCTCTCTCTCTTCCCCCGTGGTCGCGTGGATTGTGTTTTTTTTCCCCGGGTTCTCCGGTTATTTTCACTCCACATTCGGAATCTGCGTCACCACGCGTTTGAGAGACATTTCGCTGCTTACAAATGTCCACGTGATGACGACGATGAGAAACCGCCCACCTCGTCGAGCGGCTGTCATCCGCGATGGCCAGGGTCGATTCTGAAGAAGAGCTAAGTAACAGGTTTAAAATAAAAAAAAATATAAAAAAAATAGTTCAGTTGAGTCTGCGAGCACCTATCACAAACCGTGACGTCATCGCGCTCCGGGGAATCCCCTGGGAACTCCCCCCCCCGCCTCTCCGTGGGGGGGGGGGGGGAAGGGGGGACGAGGGGGGAGGGGTTCGCGGCTTCCTATTGGTCCTCGCGCGGCTCCACGTGGAACGCCGAGTGAGCAGATGAATGAATGAGTGGTGGGGAGTGAGCGGTGGCGCAGCGGTTAGCGCGCTGCACTACGAATCCCCGGCGGGCCGTGTTCGACTCCCGCTCACTGGCCACCAACACCACGAGTGACGATTATCAGAACGGGTCCTGGGTCCCCTTCAGGTCGACTCAGCCCCAAATGAGCGCCTCTCTTGTGGATGATATTGGTCGCGAAAGCCAGCGGTGTCCAATTGACCTTGCGCGGTTGTTTGTAGAACATCGGCGCCGGGGAGAGGCAAAGGCGGCCGGCCGTGGCGCTGGCCACCCACACCCCCATCGTGTGCCGTGCCGGCCTTCATAGGTGCTCAGCGCTACTAGCAGCACTTGCCCCCGACAGCATGCCGAGGCTATACGGGGGGAGATATGGGGGGGGGTGATCTTTGTCATTGTCTTTAGGTAGATGAAAGGGAGGAGAGTTGTGGGTGTGAAGGGTGTGGTGGTGGTGGTGGAGGAGGAGGAGGAAGGGGGTGGGTGCTGTCACGCTGGTCCCTGACATCGCTGATACTACGGCAACGGGCACGCGCATCGCGCAGACTCACGCGCGCGTCCATCGCGAGCGCGCGCGCGCACAGTGAGAGACTCCCCCCCCACCACCCTGTTCCTCCCTCCATCTCTCTCTCTCGCGCGCGCGAGTTCCACGCATTTCCCTCCGCCGTCTCCGCCTTCTGCCGCTTGTCTCATGGATAATGCGACCATGAGCTCCTTCTTGGAATACTACAGCGGTGGCGGTGGTGGTGGTGGCGGCGGTGGTGGTTGTGGTATCAGCAGTGAGTCCACGGCGTTCGCGTCGGCCCATTACGACCCCGACGTGGCGTGCGCCCAGAGCGCAGACGACGCGACGAATAGATTCCTCATTGGCATCAACTACAACCACTACAACCACCACAACCACCACCAGCACCACCACAACCACCACCAGCAGCAACACAACCACCACCACCACCACAGCGACAACCACCACCACTACCAACAGCATCAACAGCAGAACCACAACCGCTACGCGATCTCTCCTCCTCCTCCTCATCCGTTCCACGCTGTGTGCCAGTCTGGATATCTGACACCACCACCGCCGCCACCACCACCACCAATCGCTTACGGTGGTGGTGGTGGTGTCGGCGTCGGTGGTGGCCCCGGTGGCTGCGGCCTCTACCTCGACGCAGAAGCTCCCACGGCGACCTCCACCACGGCGACGACGGAGGCGACCTCGGCGGCCGAGACGCGTGGCTCCCGTGCCCCCGTCGCCCTCCTCGAGCCTCGCTCCTGCCGAGACTCCTCGACGGGGCCCGGCGCGGTGTTCGCCACGGGGGCGACTCGCTACGGCCTCTGTTGCCTCCGACTGTCGCCCTCGCCGCCGCTGTCGCTGGCGACGTTCGACTTCCAGTCGACGAACTTGGAGCCGCAGCCGTCTTCGTCAGAGTCGTCGTCGTCTTCGTCTTCGTCGTCTTCGTCGTCTTCGTCAGAGTCGTCGTGCTCGCCGCTCTTCCTCCAGTCGCACACCTTCGACTGGATGAGGGTCAGGCGCAACCCGCCCAAAGCTGGTGAGGGTGTGGTGTGTGTGGTGTGTGTGGTGTGGTGTGTGTGGTGTGGTGTGTGTGTTGTGTGTGTGGTGTGTGTGTGGTGTGTGGTGTGTGTGTGTTGTGTGTGGTGTGGTGTGTGTGGTGTGTGTGGTGTGGTGTGTGTGTGGTGTGTGTGGTGTGTGTGTGGTGTGTGGTGTGTGTGTGGTTGTGTGTGTGGTGTGTGTTGTGTGTGTGGGGTGTGGTGTGTGGTGTGGTGTGTGTGGTGTGTGTGGAGTGTGTGGTGTGTGTGTGTGGTGTGTGTGGTGGTGTGTGTGGTGTGTGTGGTGTGTGTGTGTGGTGTGTGTGTGGTGTGTGTGGTGTGGTGTGTGGTGTGTGTGGTGTGGTGTGTGGTGTGTGTGGTGTGGTGTGTGTGGTGTGTGTGGTGTGTGTGGTGTGTGTGGTGTGTGGTGAGGGTGTGGTGTGTGTGGTGTGTGTGGTGTGTGTGGTGTGTGTGTGGTGTGTGTGGTGTGGTGTGTGTGGTGTGTGTGGTGAGGGTGTGGTGTGTGTGTGTGTGGTGTGTGTGGTGTTGTGGTGTGTGTGGTGTGTGTGGGGTGGTGTGTGTGGGGTGGTGTGTGTGTGGTGTGTGTGGTGTGTGTGGTGAGGGTGTGGTGTGTGTGTGGTGTGTGGTGTGTGTGGTGTGTGTGGTGTGTGTGTGGTGTGTGTGTGGTGTGTGTGTGGTGTGTGTAGTGTGTGTGTGTGTGTGTTGTGTGTGTGGTGTGTGGTGTGTGTGGTTTGGTGTGTGTGTGTGGTGTGTGTGGTGTGGTGCGTGTGTTGTGTGTGTGGTGTGTGTGTGGTGTGTGTGTGTGGTGTGTGTGGTGTGTGTGGTGTGGTGTGTGTGTGGTGTGTGTGGTGTGTGTGGAGTGGTGTGTGTGATGTGGTGTGTGTGGTGTGTGTGTTTGGCGTGCTGTGTGGTGTGTGTGGTGTGTGTGGTGTATGTGGTGTGTGTGGTGTGGTGTGTGTGATGTGTGTGTGGTGTGTGTGGTGTGTGTGGTGTGGTGTGTGGTGTGTGGTGTGTGTGTGTGGTGTGTGTGGTGTGTGTGGTGTGTGGTGTGGTGTGTGTGGTGTGGTGTGTGTGATGTGTGTGTGGTGTGTGTGGTGTGTGTGGTGTGGTGTGTGGTGTGTGGTGTGTGTGTGTGGTGTGTGTGGTGTGTGTGGTGTGTGGTGTGTGGTGTGGTGTGTGTGTGTGTGTAGCGTATGTGTGGTGTGTGTGGTGTGTGTGTGGTGTGGTGTGTGAGGTGTAGTGTGTGTGTGGTGTGTGTGGTGTGTGTGGCGTGCTGTGTGCTGTGTGGTGTGTGTGTGGTGTGTGTGGTGTGTGGTGTGTGTGGTGTGTGTGTTGTGTGTGGTGTGTGTGGTGTGGTGTGTGTGGTGTGTGTGGTGTGTGGTGTGTGTGTGTGGTGTATGTTGGATGTGTGTGGTGTGTGTGGTGTGGTGTGTGTGGTGGGTGTGTGGTGGGTGTGTGGTGTGCGTGTTGGGTGTGTTGTGTGTGCGTGTGTGTGTGGGGAGCGGTAGTGTAGTAGCGGTTAGCGCGCTGCTGCGCCACGAACCCGGCCACCCGAGTTCGAGTCCCGCTCACGGCCACCAACACCGCTGACGATTATCTGAACCAGTCTTGGTCCTCCCCCTAGGTCGACTCAGCCTCAAATGAGCACCTGGTGCAGAGTGGTAAGCATCGCCACTGGGGGAGACAAAGGCGGTCGGGCGTGGTGCTGGCCACCCACCCCCTCGTGTGTCGTTGCGGCCTTCACAGGTGCTGCTGTTGCTACTCGCTACACTGCATGTGTGTGTGTGTTGAACTTCTTTCGCACCGTACGTGGCCAACCGTGCTAATCGGAGGTGCATGGGAAGGACGACGAACTTAGCAGCACTTGCCCCAACAGTCTGTCAAGCCTATATGGAGAGCGGGTAGGATGGCGGGGGGGGGGGGGGGATCTTGGTCGTTGTACCTGTGAGAGAGACAAAGGCGGCCGGGTGTGGTGCTGGCTACCCGTGCTGTCCTTACTCATACTGTGGAACAGCGCATTGTGCCTTCTTCAGCAGACAATCGGAGTCGTGTGATGTAATTTAGTCCGTGTTGTGGGTGAGTGAGTGGGTGAGTGAGTGGGTGAGTAAGTGAGTGGGTGAATGAGTGAGTGGGTGGGTGACTGAGTGGGTGAGTAGGTGTGAGAGTGGGTGGGTGAGTGAGTGGGTGAGTGAATAGGTGTGCGAGTGGGTGGGTGAGTGAGTGGGTGAGTGAGTAGGTTTTCGAGTGGATGAGTGTGTTGGTGTGCGAGTGGGTGGGTGAGTGAATGGTGTGCGAGTGAATGGGTGAGCGAGTGAGTGGGTGAGTAAGTGGGTGAGTGAGTGGGTGGGTGAGTGAGTGGGTGTGCGAGTGGGTGGGTGAGTGTGTGGGTGTGCGATTGGGTGGGTAAGTGAGTGGGTGTGCGAGTGGGTGGGAGAGTGAATGGTGTGCGAGTGAATGGGTGAGCGAGTGAGTGGGTGAGTAATTAGGTGAGTGAGTGGGTGAGTGAGTGGGTGAGTAAGTGGGTGAGTGAGTGGGTGAGTGAGTGGGTGAGTAAGTGGGTGAGTGGGTGAGTAAGTGGGTGAGTGAGTGAGTGAGTGGGTGAGTGAGTGGGTGAGTAAGTGAGTGAGTGAGTGGGTGAGTAAGTGGGTGGGTGAGTGAGTGGGTGAGTAAGTGGGTGAGTGAGTGAGTGAGTGGGTGAGTGCGTGAGTGGGTGAGTAAGTGGGTGAGTTAGTGAGTGAGTGGGTGAGTGAGTGAGTGGGTAGGTGAGTGAGTGAGCGAGTGAGTGGGTGAGTAAGTGGGTGAGTAAGTGAGTGAGCGAGTAAGTGGGTGAGTGGGTGAGTGGGTGAGTAAGTGGGTGAGTGAATGAGTGAGTGCGTGAGTGGGTGAGTAAGTGGGTGAGTGGGTGAGTGGGTGAGTGGGTGAGTAAGTGAGTGAGTGAGTGGGTGAGTGGGTGAGTGAGTGAGTAAGTGAATGAGCGAGTGAGTGGGTGAGTAAGTGGGCAAGTGGGTGAGTAAGTGAGTGAGTGGGTAAGTAAGTGAATGAGCGAGTGAGTAGGTGAGTAAGTGGGTGAGTGAGTGGGTAGGTGAGTGAGTGGGTGAGGAAGTGGGTGAGTAAGTGAGTGAGCGGGTGAGTGGGTGAGTGATTGGGTGAGTAAGTGGGTGAGTGAGTGGGTGAGTGAGTGAGTGAGTGGGTGAGTGGACGAGTGAGTGGGTGAGTGGACGAGTAAGTGGGTGAGTGGGTGAGTAATTGAGTGGGTGAGTGAGTGGATGAGTACACTCTCTGTGCTGGTTCTGTTTAGTTCCTGACTTTCCATCCACGTTGGCGCATTGCTGGGCATCTACGGATGAAATGCACCACGTTTGGCTTCGCGATTGCTAGGAGATGTTAACTACCTCTCCTGGTATACAGGAGGTCGTGGGTTCGATCCCGACCCTGACGCCTGCTGTATATTTGTAGTTGGCGTCTCTCTCTCTCATCAACATCACGGTGGCTATGGGATGTTAACTACCTCGCCTGGTATACAGGAAGTCGTGGGTTCGATCGCGACCCTGACGCCTGCTGTATATTTGGAGTTTGCGTCTCTCTCTCTCTCATCATCATCACGGTGGCTAGGAGATGTTAACTACCTCGCCTGGTATACAGGAGGTCGTGGGTTCGATCCCGAACCTGATGCCTGCTGCTGTATATTTGAATTTTGCGTGTCTCTCTCTCTCCGTGGTCACGTGGATTATTTCCCGGGACCTCCGGGTTTGCTTTCTCCTCCACATTTAGAATCAATGTCACGTGGTTTAGAGTATTTGGCTGCTGCTGCTGCTGCTTTAACATTCCCACGTGATGACAACGATTAGCCCACTTATTGAATAACAGCAGCTCTGTGGGGCCTGTACCTGGTAACATGTAATTAGTTGGTTCATAGTTAGTGGCTAACTTGTGCAGGGGGAGGGATGGGGGATGGGTGGGGTGGTGCTTTGTTCCACTCCCAAGCAGAGTTATTGGCTTAATTGAATGAGGTCGTTCAACCTCTTCTCGAATTCACTGGCGCCTGATCAACATCATCATCGTCACCATCAGCATCATCATCAGCATCATCATCACCACCACAATCATCACTACCACCATCATCACCACCACCAGTATCACCACGATGACCACCATCAACACCACAACCATTATCATCACCACCACAATCACCACTAACCACCATCATCTATCAGTACTCAGCTGTGAACAACCTCATGGTGCTGTCTGTCACCTGAGCTGTTAACCATCTTCTTTTTGTCGCTCCTCTCCCGTCTCACCTCCTCTCCCATCCTCAACCCTCTTCTCTCCTCCCATCATCCATCTCCACAATCACTCTCTTCCATCCTCAACCCTCTTCTCTCCTCCCATCATCCATCTCCACAATCACTCTCTTCCATCCTCAACCCTCTTCTCTCCTCCCATCCTCCATCTCCACAATCACTCTCTTCCATCCTCAACCCTCTTCTCTCCTCCCATCATCCATCTCCACAATCACTCTCTTCCATCCCCTACCCTCCTCCTCTCCCTTCTTCACCCATCACCCCCTCCCCGCCCTCTCTCATCCCCTTCCCTCCCCATCCTTCTTCCCCATCATTCTTCCCCATCATCCTTCCTCCATCATCCCTCCTCCATTCCCCATCCTCCCTGCTCCATCATCCTCTCTCCCCATCCCCTCTCCCCCACCGCCCTCTCTCCCCTCCGCAGTGGCTAACCCCATCGGCAGTGGCGGGGTCAACCGCTTTGGCGACGGCGGCGTTGTTGTTGTTGGTGGTGGCCTTGGTGGTGGCCTTGGTGGTGTCGTTGGGCCTTCTCTGCCCCTCGTGGCCGGCGGGACGCTCCTGGGCGCCGCTCCACGCACTAACTTCAGCACGAGGCAGCTGACCGAGCTGGAGAAGGAGTTCCACTTCAGCCGCTACCTGACGCGCGCGCGACGCGTCGAGGTGGCCGCCGCCCTGCAGCTGCACGAGGCCCAGGTCAAGATCTGGTTCCAGAACCGGCGGATGAAGCAGAAGAAGCGCGATAAGGAGGTGGCGGTGGCGGTGGCGGTGGTGGCGGCGGTGGTCGCGACGAGCGACGGCAGCGAGGTGTCGTCGACGTCGCCGGGACGAGTGAGCGGTGCCGGCGAGGCTGCGGTGTCACCTCCCGTTGCGCAGCAGAAGCTGCAGCAGCAGCAGCAGGAGCAGCAGCAGGAGCAGCAGCAGCAGGAGCAGCAGCAGCAGCAGCTGGAGCAGCCAGAGTCGGGACTTGAGCTGGAGCCAAGCGGCGGCGGCGGCGATGAAAGTTGGGAGATCAATTCGGAAAATTCGCCGGCTGCGTCTTCTCCACGCTCGATCGCCCCCTCTCCTCCTGCTCCTCCTCGTGCTCCTCCTGCCGCTCCGCAGTTTTCACCCAGGGCGTGAGGCGGTGCTGGTGGCGGTGGTGGTGGTGGTGCTGGTGGTGGCGGCGGTGGTGGTGCTGGTGCTGGTGGCGGTGGCGGTGGTGGTGCTGGTGGTGGCGGTGGTGGTGCTGGTGGTGGCGGCGGTGGTGGTGGTGCTGGTGGTGGTGCTGGTGGCGGTGGCGGTGGTGGTGCTGGTGGTGGCGGTGGTGGTGCTGGTGGTGGCGGTGGTGGTGGCGCTGGTTGTTCGTGGTGTTGAGATGTTTCCTGGGGTACAATGCGCGTGTGCGGAGGCGGATTGGAGGGGGGGCGGGGTACCAGGCTAGGTGCACTTTGAGGCCCTCGGGTGAAGTGTTGAAGACTCTCGCTGCTGGCAGGAGGAGGTCACGGGACAGACCGCAGCTGCCATGGGTTGAGTGCTGTGCCAGGCTAGGTGCAGGAGGCGGTCACGGGACAGACCGCAGGTGCCATGGGTTGAGTGCTGTGCCAGGCTAGGTGCAGGAGGCGGTCACGGAACAGACCCTGCAGGTGCCATGGGTTGACTGCTGTGCCAGGCTAGGTGCAGGAGGAGGTCACGGGGCAGACCCTGCAGGTGCCATGGGTTGAGTGCTGTGCCAGGCTAGGTGCAGGAGGAGGTCACGGAACAGACCGCAAGTGCCATGGAGAAGGAGTTCCACTTGAGCCGCTACCAGGCTAGGTGCAGGAGGATGTCACGTGACAGAACCAGGTGCCATGGGTTGAGTAAATGAGGTGACCGGCCGATGCACCACCGCCTGTGCCCCCTAGTGTGCTTTGCCCGTTGGTGTGAGCTGTTCCGCTGTTGTTGGAACAAAGTGCACCTTGCCTGGCACACATCAACAACAGCGATGACGAACGGCCATCGTTGTTGCTGATGTGTGGGGGAGCGGTAGTGCGGTGGTTGGCGCGCTGCGCTACGAACCCGGCGAATATCCAAGCCGATCGCGCTCGTGTGTGTGTGCGTGTGTGTGTGTGTGCGTGTGTGTGCGTGTGTGTGTGCGTGTGTGTGTGCGTGTGTGTGTGTGTGTGCGTGTGTGTGCGTGTGTGTGTGCGTGTGTGTGTGTGTGCGTGTGTGTGCGTGTGTGTGTGCGTGTGTGTGTGCGTGTGTGTGTGTGCGTGTGTGTGCGTGTGTGTGTGCACGGTAGTCGTGGGTAGAGGGGGGGGAATGGTGGATATACCTCGCCAAAGACACCTCAATCATCCTCCCGTGTCGGATGAAATTAAGTGGGGGTCCATATTCTGAGAAACTAGTTAATCATAATAATAACAACAACAACAACAACACAAGTTCCTTTGGGTTATATCGCGTGAATATAAACGTGCCGTGAACCCACCACCCGACACGGCCAATCAGCAAGGGTTGGCCAATTAGTCACTGCTCCAACACACCAATTACGTGTTGGAGAGTGAAACCCCACCGCGTTTACGATTTCAGTAAGACCCGAAATAACGTGTTCGTTTATTTGTATCACGAGTGGCATTGGTCGCGAAAGCCGATGCTATTAAATCGACTCGATAAAATGTGCTCGATCCACGCAAAAAATATACGTACCATATATATGTGTGTGTGTATATATCCTACGCGCAATCGCTACTTCGCCAAATCGCGCGCGTGGCTTCGACCGCTTTGTCCGCATTGTGAGCGTCGAGTTGCGCGGCGGCCAATCAGAGCTGGTGGCGCGCGATCACTCGACCAATCGGGGCGGGCCGCGAAACGCGTCACCGCGGCGCTGCGACGAGCCTCGTCCAATCCGGATCGCCCCTCTCTGCTCACGTGGGCAACCGAGTTTTGCGCCACAACCGCTGGCAACCGCTCCCGGCTGCATAGTTTCAGCCCAACACGTGCGCCGCGCGTCGAGTTGCACGCCGTTGCTGCTGTCGCCGTCGTTAAGGGGCGACCGAGCGTCGCGCAAACCCGAGCCGCACGCGACTGATTTGCTTCGCCCCTCTGCGGAGCCGGCTCTGTGTGCGACGTTGTTTTGAAGTTCGCGCCACAACGCGCGGCGAATAGATGAGTCATTTAAAGCAAGCGAATTTTTCGCGGAAATTTCTCGCAACCCGCTCGAGACCGCTGGCGGCAGGAGACGTCGTCCAACACGTGTTTGGCGCGTGAGTTGCGCGCAATCGATTGCCCGGATGTCTGGGAGCCCGGACGCAATCAGTAATTGGTTATTCGTAAAGAGGTGAGTGGCCTTTGGCTCGCTGACCAGTAGACATCGATTGTAAAACGATGACGATTTGGGGCCAGGTGCGTCAGGGTGGTTAGGAGATGTTGACTACCTCGCCTGGTATACAGGAGGTCGTGGGTTCGATCCCGACCCCTGTAGCATCCTGCTGCTGTATATTTGAAGTTTGCGGTGTCTCTCTCTCTCTCATCATCATCACGGTGGCTAGGAGATGTTGACTACCTCGCCTGGTATACAGGAGGTTGTGGGTTCTATCCCGACCCATGTAGCCTGCTGCTGTATATTTGAAGTTTGCGGTGTCTCTCTCTCTCCCCGTGGTCGCGTGGATTTTTCTCCGGGTCCTCCGGATTTTCCCTCCACGTTGAGAATCGACGTCGCGCGTTTGTCGAGTGTTTAGCTGCTGCTGTAAATTTCCACACGACGATGATGACGATGATGATGATGATGAGCCCACTTTCGTTGAGCTATCGTTTGTGATGGCCAGGTCGCTTCTGAAAAAGAGCGGCGTAGCTCGGTGGGACCTTAACTGGTAAAAAAAAATAGTAACAGGTAGTAGTAGCTCCGCTATATCCGCTTCCACGGGCCGTTCTCGATCTCACAAGATCACTGTATTTGGTTGATGTTGCTGCTGCTGCTGCATTAAAAGTTGTCCACAATCACTGTCAACAACAACACAAACGCAACAACAACACAGCAACAGCAACACAACGATAACACAACAACAAAACAACACAACAACAGCCACAACAGCTCAACATGGTTACCTGGTGCGTTGTGTAGTAAACATCGCCACTGGGGGGGGATACAAAGGCGGCCGGGCGTGGTGATGGCCACCCCTCCCACCACCCCTCGTGTGCCCTGATCTCGCTTTCATGGTGCTCGCCAACAGCACTTGCCCCAACAGTCCGGTTAAGGCTACACGGGGGATCTTTGTAAATATTTTCCTTCGCGAAATGTTTACGGGTTGTTAATCGCGGGTACCTCACGCCAAAGATAAGTGTGTGTGTGCAGCTGTGTACGTGTGTTGGTGTGTCTCTATGTATGTACGTGCCTGTGTGTGTGTCCATGTCTGTGTGTGTCTATGTGGTGTCCGTGTGTGGGGGGGGGGGGGGGGGGGGGAGCGGTGGTGCAGCGGTTAGCGCTACGCTGCGCTAAGAACCCGGCGACCCGAGTTGGATTTCCCGTTCACGGACAACACCGGTGACGCATTATCTGAACATGTCCTGGGCCTCCCCTAGGTCGACTCAGCCTCAAAATGAGTACCTGGTGCGGTGTGTAAACATCGCCACGAGGAAGACGAAGGCGGCAGGGCGTGATGATGGCCACCCACCCCCTCGTGTGCCGTGCCAGCCGTCATAGGTGCTCGCTAACAGCACTTGCCCCAACAGTCTGTTAAGGCTACACGGGGGATCTTTGTCTTTGTGTGTCTGTGTATGAGCGTGTGTATGCTTTTGCATATGCGCACCTGTGTGTGTGTGTACGTGCGTGTGAGGGAATGCCGATCTATATGTAAATAAGAAAACCTCATACAATCAGCTTTGACTTCATTATTTATTATTAAAGGCATGCGTTTGAAATTGCTGCCTCTCATTCCCTCCGGGACTACACAAAGAGGGAAAAATCGCGGCCAGTCGACTCATCCCCGCGTCGTGCAACCCGAATCGTGACACAACTGCTTTGTCCACATCCGAGCGACAAGTTGCGCAAACCCGAATCTTTGGTGGTGGTGGCGGTGGTAGTGGCGGTGGTGGTGGTAGCGGTGGTGGCGGTGGTGGTGGTAGCGGTGGTGGCGGTGGTGGTGGTGGCGGCGGCGGCGGTGGTGGTGGTGATGGTGGTGGCGGTGGTGGTGGCGGTGGTGGCGGTGGTGGCGGTGGAGGCGGTGGTGGTGGCGGTGGTGGTGGCGGTGGTGGCGGCGGAGTTGGCGGTGGTGGTGATGGTGGTGGCGGTGGTGGTGGTGGCGGTGGTGGCGGTGGTGGCGGTGGTGGTGGTGGTGGTGGCGGTGGTGGTGGTGGTGGTGGCGGTGGTGGTGGTGGCGGTGGTGGCGGTGGTGGTGGTGGTGGCGGTGGTGGTGGTGGTGGTGGTGGCGGTGGTGGCGGCGGAGTTGGCGGTGGTGGTGATGGTGGTGGCGGTGGTGGCGGTGGTGGCGGCGGAGTTGGCGGTGGTGGTGGCGGCGGTGGCGGTGCTGGTGGTGGTGGCGGTGCTGGCGGTGGTGGTGGTGGTGGTCGCGGTGGTGGCGGTGATGATGATGGTGGTCACGGTGGCGGTGGTAGATGCCTTCCTGAAAAGTGCCGCGTCAAACCCAAAACGATATCGCCATGGATGGCGGAGAGTCACGACAGAGTTCTGGCGAGACGCCACGTGCTGCTACGCTCGCCACCACGTGACACGGCGGGACAAGTGCCCGCTAAGGCGCGGGGCTCGAGAAAAGTGTCTTGTCGTCGACCGCTCACAAACCGCGTTATAACGGTGTAGCAATCCGCGTTATCACGGTGTGTGCGTAATAACGGTGTGACAAACCGCGTTATCACGGTGTGTGCGTTATCACGGTGTGTGCGTTATCACGGTGTGTGCGTTATAACGGTGTGACAAACCGCGTTATCACGGTGTGTGCGTTATAACGGTGTGTGCGTTATCACGGTGTGTGCGTTATAGCGGTGTGACAAACCGCGTTATAACGGTGTGCGCGTTATCACGGTGTGTGCGTTATAACGGTGTGTGCGTTATCACGGTGTGGCGATCCGCGTTATCACGGTGTGCGCGTTATCACGGTGTGGCAATCCGCGTTATCACGGTGTGCGCGTTATCACGGTGTGTGCGTTAC